TTAACTCATATGCTACTTCACATGTAATCAGTGTATGATGAACAGATTTAAGTTGTAACTATAGGTATAGATATAAGTAGGATAGGATCATAGGAGTATAAAATTGACAAGTATTTATGAGTGATGAGTGCATATTAGACATATAAGAAAGATAAGGTTGTAACGCACAGCCTAGAGGCTGAGACCTGTACAATTTCAGTTGAGCCATACTAGGCCTCAGGCCTAAGAAGAGCGGACATAAGTAGATTACTCAGAAATAACCCTGTACAAGTAAAGTTACAAGATTATTGTAAAGAATGTGCTCGTAGGTGATGTTTGGGAAAATATGTTGCAATGTACCCATCTAGACTGCAAGACACCTGCCTAACATAATTGTGGAAAGTTTTGCTCTCCCCAACAGGTTACCATGGGAACATGTTTACATAGATGCTCATGAGAATAAGGGGAACTAAGAGAACCACCTGTGAAAAGCAGAGCATCCCAAAACGTATCAGATGTGGAAGGACAGAAAGAAAAGGGAGTTGGAACCGTCATGCATATACATACAATGGTAGATGTGGTCATAACACGGGATAAAAAGGGTTTGCTAATATGGACAGGGAGGGAAGACCCCATACAAAAAAACCCCCATCTGTCAGGATCCCACCAAAGGCAGTAAGGGCCAAGGGTCAGAGCAGGGGGGGAACTTGAGGATGGGAGTAGCAGAGGAGTTTGTAGCCAGGTTCCAGGCCAGGGTCAATACCAAGGGTCAGAGTCCAAGTCAGGTTTCAGGTTCAACTCAAAGCAAAGTCCAAATCAAGCCAAGGTCAATGCCAGGAATTCAGAAGCAGAAATGGCCACAGCAGCTACAGGAGATCCACACTGTTGCCTGGAAACTTCCTGGAACACTTGTTGGGTTTATATAGGGCAGGGAGCCAATGAGGAGCCATGAGGCTGCTTTCTGTCAAATCCTTGAGGTGGAGCTTCCCATGGTCTGTGTCCACAGCAGGTCTTCGGAAGTGGAGAGCAAGCTGGTTACTTCTGCCACTGGGTGGAAGCCTAGAGATATCAGCTGTCTGGTAGCTTTACAGCCCTGGGTTCTAGACCAGGGGGACTTATACCATCAGGGAAGAACCAAGTCATGAAGATACTCCCCCCACCATTGATGACAATCTGTTGAGAGACAAACCTGACTCTCTGTGATCATAGAACATCAGGGTTGGAAGGGACCTCAGGAGGTCATCTAGTCCAACCCTCTGCTCAAAGCAGGACCAATCCCCAACTAAATCATCCCAGCCAGGGCTTTGTCAAGCTTGACCTTAAAAATCTCAAAGGAAGGAGATTCCACCACTTCCCTAGGTAACACATTCCAGTGCTTCACCACCCTCCTAGTGAAAAAGTTTTTCCTAATATCCAACCTAAACCTCCCCCCACTGCAACTTGAGACCATTACTCCTTGTTCTGTCATCTGCTACCACGGAGAACAGTCTTGATCCATCCTCTTTGGAACCCCCTTTCAGATAGTTGGAAGCAGCTATCAAATCCCCCCTCATTCTTCTCTTCTGCAGACGAAACAATCCCAGTTCCCTCAGCCTCTCCTCATAAGTCATGTGTTCCAGTCCCCTAATCATTTTTGTTGCCTTCCAATTTTTCCACATCCTTCTTGTAGAATGGGGCCCAAAACTGGACACAGTGCTCCAGACGAGGCCTCACCAATGTCGAATAGAGGGGAACGATCACGTCCTTCGATCTGCTGGCAATACCCTACCTATACAAGTGCTAACAAAATGCCATTAGCCTTCTTGGCAACAAGGGCACACTGTTGACTCATATCCAGCTTCTCATCCACTGTAACCCCTAGGTTCTTTTCTGCAGAACTGCTGTCTAGCCATTCGGTCCCTAGTCTGTAGCAGTGCAGGGGATTCTTCTGTCCTAAGTGCAAGACTCTGCACTTGTCCTTGTTGAACCTCATCAGATTTCTTTTGGCCCAATCCTCTAATTTGTCTAGGTCCCTCTGTATCCTATCCCTACCCTCCTGCATATCTACCATTCCTCCCAGGTTAGTGCCATCTGCAAACTTGCTAAGGGTGCAGTCCACGCCATCCTCCAGATCATTAATGAAGATATTGAACAAAACCGGCCCCAGGACCGACCCTTGGGGCACTCCGCTTGATACCAGCTGCCAACTAGACATGGAGCCATTGATCACTACCCGCTGAGCCCGACGATCTAGCCAGCTTTCTATCCACCTTATAGTCCGTTCATCCAGTCCATACTTCTTTAACTTGCTGGCAAGAATACTGTGGGAGACCATGTCAAAAGCTTTGCTAAAGTCAAGGAATAACGCGTCCACTGCTTTCCCCTCATCCACAGAGCCAGTTATCTTGTCATAGAAGGCAATTAGATTAGTCAGGCATGACTTGCCCTTGGTGAATCCATGCTGACTGTTCCTGATCACTTTCCTCTAAGTGCTTCAGAATTGATTCCTCGAGGACCTGCTCCATGATTTTTCCAGGGACTCAAGTGAGGCTGACTGGCCTGTAGTTCCCTGGATCCTCCTCCTTCCCTTTTTTAAAGATGGGCATAACATTAGCCTTTTTCCAGTCGTCCGGGACTTCCCCCAATCGCCATGAGTTTTCAAAGATAATGGCCAATGGCTCTGCAATCACATCCACCAACTCCTTTAGCACTCTCGGATGAAGTGCATCCGGCCCCATGGACTTGTGCTCGTCCAGCTTTTCTAAATACTCCTGAACTAATTCTTTCTCCACAGAGGCTAGTCACCTCCTCCCCATGCTGTGCTGCCCAGTGCAGTAGTCTGGGAGCTGACCTTGTTCGTGAAGACAGAGGCAAAAAAAGCATTGAGTACATTAGCTTTTTCCACATCCTCTGTCACTAGGTTGCCTCCCTCATTCAGTAAGGGGCCCACACTTTCCTTGACTTTCTTCTTGTTGCTAACATACGGAAGAAACCCTTCTTGTTACTCTTAACATCTCTTGCTAGCTGAAACTCCAAGTGTGATTTGGCCTTCCTGATTTCACTCCTAAGCATGAATACAGCATTGGCTATTGCATGGTTTTGTACATGTATGTGTGAATGTAATATAATACAGACAAAATTACTTGTGACTGTGTGTGTGGTCACTGTATTCGCTCTTCGTGTACTCCTAGAAATTCTCTTAGGTTGGGAGACTCTAAGGGTGACTTTTACCCTGTTGATCTTAAAACTATAGCAACAGAGGAGATGGACTTACTTACTTAGGACACCGTGTTTTAGCAAAGAACTATCAATTCAATTGAAATAGAGGCTACAATAGTTATGGTTGCTAAACAGTTCTATCTCTTTGTTTTAAAACGTTCATAACTTTTCAAAACCCTGCACTTTTGGGGCTAAAGTTTTCCATGTTTTGTCTCTACCTAAAAGGCTTTTTTTATTATTATTTTATTTGTTTTAAGTTGGAGCAAAATTCTGGGTTTTGAACTGATAAAAGCTGAAAAATTGCATTTACGACACTTAAAAGAAATTTGCTTTACCAAAAGCAGACTGCATTGGAAACAATACATCCAGTGCATGTCACCATGAAAAGTGATTAAATTTTCTGCTTTAACTGGAGGAAAGTGCAGTTTTCCCATATACTGGAAGTTCTTCGGTAATTTAAATGCTTATTACCATAGAAGACTAATAAAAACATTCTGAATTGACTTATGGCATATCTGTTCAGTAGACCTCAGTGAATTCTGCAAAAAGCTTCCCCAAACATTCATTTGAATTTTAAATGAATTTGCTTCATCTGTATTCACACCCTTTTTTGTTGCCTTTCAGGGAACATTTATGCAACAAAATCTCACAAGCATTTGCACCAGAAGTTTGTTGACAAAAAATTAGCTTTATCCAATGAGGATGAAAGACAATACTAATGTGACAATCTTGTCCAAAATTACAGAATATCAAAAAAAAATGTGAAGAAACTGCCATGTGTTAACACGCAGCTAACAGAAAGAATGTTACCAAAAACATGCACTCATTTTTAATCTCAGGACTCCCTCTTCTCACACTTGTAAAGCAACTACAGCCTGATCTACATCAAAAAGCTATATTGGCATAGCAACACTATGTGAAAAAACATACCCCTGACTGACAAAACCCCCAGTGTAGATGCAACTATGTCGACATAACAGTACTTCTGTCAATGTAGTTAAAGTTGTCTGGGCAAGTGATGTTTGTACACTGACAGAAAAACCCCTTCTGTCACTATGGCTGCATCTACACAAGGGGGCTATGCCAGCATAGTTATTCCAACATAGGCTCTGTAGTGCAGACTTAGCTTAAATCAATCAATGAAGATTATTATTTGTACTGCAGTAGCACTTACTGGCCATCAGTTTTTGTGCTAAGAACTGTACAAGCATATAAAATTAAGATAGATTTTAAATTCTTCAGGGAAGGAACTAAGTATAAAGAGGAGACACAACAGGTGTGCGTATACACATAAAGAGAGGTAGTACAAAGTAACAACGAGACTATTAGGAACAGCATGATAAGCAATGGTCACTGCATACCAGCTGCCTAACCATTCAAGATTTTTGTAGGCATCATGACGGATAAGAATGATGCAGAGTATTGGCTGCACTGCCATTTACTGACTTTAGAGAAGACCAGGACATCTTGCCTTCTCACCTGAAGAAAAGATGTCACAGTACTAGGCTTCTGAAAAGAGGACAAGAATGAACATACAGAATACCACAGCATCCCCGTATGAAGTGGTAACAACTTCTGACGCCCCAAGGGCTTGTTTTAAAAAACAAAACAAAAAACTAACCGTGGATTTAATGCTAATTAAAAGGAAACACCAAAAAGGAGTTTACAGAATGCTGTACTGTATTTCAACTTCATTGTAAGCCTAAGCACTGAACAGCAGTGAACACTTGGAACATGCAAAAATATTCAGTGTAGCTTTTAAAAGCAGCAGCATCAATAGTACACAACAGAGAACTAGAAGTTGAATCAACGATTCTGCTTACCTATCTTCACCAAAACGTCGACCAATCAAGACTTTACACTTGTCTCCGGGGAGGCAAGCAGTTAGAAGAGGCACTGTCCGTAATACTCGACTTTCCTTTAAATCAAAAAGGAAAAAAAATGTTTTAAAAGAATACGGATGCTTTCTTAAACTCTTAAAATGTAGTTGTTTCTTTTGTAGTTCTTACTACCACAAAATATGCATCATACAGTTCTCTGAGTGATAGAAAAGGCATACAAAAGGAAAAAAATCCAGATTTCAGTGTTAATTTATTCTATTCTATGTAATACTTACCTGTAATTGTTGCTCTCTGAAAATATACAGCTCAATGAAAACATGTAGTCTTGCCTCCATGCACCTGTTTAGACCTGGTAGGAATTCCCATAAACCAAATTCTATGAAGTCTGGAATGTTGAGGACTTCCAAGCCTACCATTGCTGAAGTATTTAACATAACCCTCCAATACTTCACCAGTTAATTTCAAGCTGGAAGTTAAAATACTTCCATATATATTTGCCAATTAAAACATGAAAAAAATTAATGAGGTCAGTCTCTTCACCTCTGTATATCTTCAGAGAAGCATTTTTTACAGGTATGTAATTATTTCTTTTTTAGAGCTACCCATCTCAATGGATTTTCATGCTGGACTTTTATCCTGCTCTCTCTACGTCAATGAAAAAACTCCCTTGACTTCAATGGTGCAAGGTCAGACCTTCAGTGACTTAAAAAAAGCTCAAGGGTGTTTGTAAAAGAAAACTGTAAACAGAAACTTGAACAAAAAATGAGAAACAATGAACAATGAAACAATGGAGAACGCGCCCTGATCAGTACCATTAACAATAATGCAGATTACATAAACAGCATGCTATATGACAAAATGTATTATACACAAATACATGTGGGTGAGAGGGAGAGAGGGAGATTGATTTCAAATTGCAAAGCCACCCATCAGGAGGAGGACTACAAGTATGCTCCTCAAACCCTATACTCAACAAAACTCAATTGTTCTCTCTGCCAGGAATCCTGACTTCGATACAGAGGCCTATTTGAAATAATTTTCTCTTAAGAGCCAAGACCCCCAAAATGGATGGTTCTTAGGAAGCTTGCATCATATTAAAGGGATCACTCATCAAATTGCAAAGCCACCCACCAGAAGAAAAAGAGATAATATGATATAAACTTAATAGGCTTCTTCACCTATAGTCATCCTGCAATTTTGCCAAAAGGGCATATTTTGTGATTCAATAAATTGATAAGAAGTTTCATGGCCTTTAGAAAATCTAAAAAGTTAAAACAAACAATTTGCTTCTTATGCTCAGACTGAAGAAGCACGAATGTACAAAAAGTAGAAACTTGGTCAAAGACTGAAAAACCATGATAGCAAGACTGCCACTGCATCCAATGTCCTGGGCTACCACTATCCAAACAAAATATTTAAACAATAGACTGGGGAAAAAAGGTCTAATATGGGCACAGAATACATTAGTTTTTATACTTGTGAGTGTTCCCACCGTCTCTCACTCTCACACACACACTAATGAGGTTGACTTTACTTTCACAAACAGATGCCAAAAATAATAATCTTGGATGTGTCAGAAGATTCATTTTTTGGCAAGTGGTTAAGAATGGCAACAAAGAGCTGAAAGAACAGCTATTAGTTGTCTCATACAAGAAAAAAAATACTAATAGCCAGCAGGATGAAGACATTCAAAAATTGTTACTTTCAATGTTTTTTTCCGATTTGGTACCACTGCCCAATCCAAATAACCTAACTTTTAGACAAATGCTTGCTGCTAACTGTCTGGAAGTGTATTTTTTTAACTGAATTAAAGGTGAACAACAAGAGAAAAGTATATGTTTTGAAATGTTGACAGTATATCAAAGATGGACTACACAAAGTAGAGAAGAAATTGTTTCAGAACTCAGACATGAGCTTGTGGATAACCAAGACCTTATTAAAGATTAAGGCTAAATATATACTGTAATTGTAGCTATTTTCAATCTACAGGTCTGAAATCATGTAATTATTTCCTTTCTTTGCACTCTTGCATGTTCCTCCTGGCAGCAGAGTGCAATGCTTTGTATTATGGAAATACTGAATATTTGACCATTGAAGTACCATAGATGCAGCACCATAGGGGTTATTCTTCTTTTCTGGGAGTTCATGGTGTTGGTTACAAAAACCTTATATTTTCTCTGTAATGACCTGGATTTTTCATGATTCACGACTAATAATGAAACATCCACTAAAAGAAAATTTATTAAAAATAAGCAAAAATCCCAATATCCTTTCGGTTTCTCTCAGTTGAAATGTCATCTTGATTTTCTTTGGAATGGATAAAGTGTACCAATAAAAAAATCCCACAATCCTCAGGGTTCAACTGGGGATGCTATAAGGAATAAGTGAAGGTGAATTAACGTTACCAGATCTTTGCATGAGGGTATTAAACCCAGAAGATTCTTGGACTTAAATTTCCCTCACAGAAGTTAGACATAGTGATCACTAGCTTTGCAGGAAGCATTGTTTCGAACCGAGACATGTACAGTGTGGCTTACATTCTTTTAACTCCATTAAGGACTCAGACCTGAGCCAAGCTGCATTCCTTTGCTTCTGACCAGAAAGCAGACTGTTCTATGCTGCTGGAGATTCCTCTAGAGAGGCTGGGGGAAAGGGGTGGCAAAACAAATACGTGTATGGTCAGCATAGCTAACTCTATGCCCCATCCCCAAGTCCCCAGCACAGACACCTGTCATAAAGAGCTTAAAATCTAAATAGACAAGACAGACAGAACGTGTGAGGAAAAAGAGACACAGAGAAGGTCTCCAAGGTCACAGAATATGTCAGCAGCTAAACCAAGACCAGAACCCAGGCCTCTTAACTTCCAGTCCACTGCCCCAACCATTAGACCACAGTGCCTTTCCAAATCTGTTGCAACTAAGGTACTTCCATCATTTAGATGGCCAGGAGAATGCATCATCCTTAATTCAGGAAGCACATGAAATTGTTATGAGAAATCTTGCTATTAGGTTCACACAGTTATTAGGGCCCATAATTTTTTTGAAGGCATGAAAGAAGCAAAAATGTAGAAAAATGTGCTCACCACTTGGGAGGATCCTTACAAAACACAAATCACTCGGAATTATTGAGGAGCTAAGTACAGGTGATCAGAAAACATTAAGAATACCTAAGAGAACACATAGGTATTCTGTTTCTTTTAGGATTCACTTATGTGCTTCATTAAATACTTTATTTATTTATTTATTTATTTATTTTTGAAACAGTAACTCTAGTAGACCAGATAAGTAAGTGGGCTTTCCTGTAGACTTCCTCTTGCTACAACATTTAAGGCCATTACCTCAAGCTTATTATTTGATTTATATTGTTAAACATTAATAGATTAATACAGAATAATAAAAGCTAAACACAGATCTGTGACTAAAATATACAAATGCCTCAACTGTCTCCAGGCCACTAGACACATACTATATAAAAGGGCTCACTCCTAAATCTTTACTTACACAAGTAGCCCCACTGACATAAATGAGACTGCTTATGTGAGGAAGGATTTCTTACACACAAGGATTTCAGGAATGGGCCATGATTCAAGAGGAGGGAAAAAAATAAGAAGATAATGAGAGATTTTAAAAATAAAAGAATAAATGACTAACAAATCATGTGAACTAGTTGTTCAGCTTTATAACTATTTTCAAAGCTGAAGTTGTTGCACATGTCTGATCAAGATTGTTTCCTCTTGCCCTCTCTCACACCCTTTGCTGTGTAAGCTTCTAGCTGAACTCTGACAATTCCCATAGCCTTACTCACCTCTGCTGGATGCTGAATTATATACAAGCAGGTGGAAACTTTTAGAGGATGTACAGGGAAGAATGGACACAAACACACCTTCTGAGGACGGCTACAGGATGGAAAGGGGAAAAAAAACATTGACAATTAGTCATACACACTATTAATTTTATTATGTAAAACATTTATCCCTTTCCAAGAGTTGTGCTAGTACTTTCCTGTACAGCAGACTGCACCTACACAAACCTGATGACATAAACTTTCTGTTGCTGATATTGCTATTATTTGTAAAAACAAACAAGATTGTATTTCAATAAACTTTGGAGAGCAGTATTCAGAAACATGCTCTAGAAAATTCAGTTGGGATTAAGGCACTTCAAATAATTCATTTTCAACCTATTCAAGGGAAACAATTTATAAGTGGCTATGCCTTGACCAAGTGAGAAATCAACCACTGTCTTCCATCCCAAATAAAGAAGTCAATAATATAATACAAAGCACAGAGAGGAAGGCATATTTGTATGCACAACAAACCACAGACATCCCAAATATATTATTTTGTTGTAATTATTTACTATTCCACACTATATTTATCAGAAGACTTGGAAATGTAGAAACAAAGGAAGACATGGTCACTGTTTCAGAAATTTACAGTCTAAGAGACACAAACAGTACAAAACAAATTAGCTGTTTAAAGTTGTTCTGTACTCGATGAAAGGTCTTATAGAAGACGAATATAAAAAGACAGTGTTTTGAACATTATTGTTGTTATCTGGTATACAAGAAGAGTTGGTTGGAGGTCCAGGCACTGGGAGAAGCACAGAATGGGATGCAGTGTAATATAGTGGAGCAGAGATAATATCAGAGGATAAGAATGATGTCAATAAGTTGGGTCATAAGCTAACCAACAATAAATAAATAAAAAACAAATATTGCTAATAGCATATTAGAATTGGTGACAAAAAACAAACAAAATATTTTCCTGGTACCAACAAGATTACAAAAACCAGGATCATCTAAATACATTTCTTTCCCTTAGGCTTAAAAAAAAAAAAAAGCTAAGAGTCATTATTTCCATTGTAAACCTAAGGTCCCCATTTTCAACTACTCCTTATGGTCAACGTGTTTTTCCCTTTAAAATTTACTGACCACACCCGCATATGTTCACTGTACGTTAAATTGATATGTCTTCACTGCAAAGTTAACTTGAGTTATTCTCCTGACTTAGCTTAGATGAGTGGTTCTCAACTTTTTTATGATTGCATGTTACCTGGGCCGCAGGGGCCGGGTGGCAGGGCAACGGTAGCCTGGACCCCGACCCTGGACCCCTGCCGCACGGGGCAAGCTGCTCACCCCAGATCCCACCACGCGGGGCCAGCTGGCTGCCCAAACCCCACTGCGCTGGGTGCCAGGGTAGCCTGGACCCCGCCATGCAGGACAGCCTTTAGCACTTACCTGAGGTGGACCGCAGCTGTGTGCTAATTGGGCCGGATGCAGCCCGCAGGTTGAGAACTGCTGGCTTAGATTGAGAAAGCAGCTGCACTGCAAAAAGACTTGGGTGGCTGAGTCTGCACTGCACTCACAAGAGTGTGGCACTAAGACTTCTGGGGGCAAAGCTGATGGCCCTTTGCACTGCAGTAAGCTGCAATGCTCTATGAATTCTCAGCAAGTTGTGAGAAGACTTTTCTGTCCTTTTTGAGAGCACGAGGGGAATTGTTGGAAGGCACTGGAGGACTAGCAGCATTCAAGTGGAGTTAGCATGGTAATATTAACAGCTGATGAGTTGTGCTAACTTGACCTTTACCCTATATGTCCTGACAGGCCAGTGAATTTGAGTTAAAAGCACAAACAGACTAAAATTAAAGGTTTTTGTGACTGGACAGGACTCAATTTAAAGGCAATCCTGAGTTTAGTATGCAGTGAAGGCCTTTGGCCCTTCAAGTCCTGAAACGTTTCAATTCAATTATATCTTGCCCCAACTTCGGACTAGCTCTCACCAGAGATCTTAAGTTTATGTTAATCTAGGATTTACACCACCGTAAATCCAGAAACTATCTCTAGGAAGCTTTGTTGATTATAAAAAAACAAGCAAAAATAAAAGCTTACATAGTATAAGAAATAGCCTTACAAAGTAACGAGTGAGAAAATTTTATCCTAAGTTAAGCAAGCATATGCTTCCACTTTCTTTACGATCAGACGCTCTTAGCCTTTTTTCATCAGTGAAATCTCTGTTACTCTATTAGCTGTAAAAGGAAAAGGAGTACTTGTGGCACCTTAGAGACTAACAAATTTATTAGAGCGTAAGCTTTCGTGAGCTACAACTAACTTCATCGGATGCATACAGTAGAAAATATAGTGGGGAGATTTTATATACACAGAGAACATGAAACAATGGGTGTTACCATACAGACTGTAACAAGAGTGACTGGGTAAGGTGAGCTATTACAGGCAGGAGAGCGGGGCGGCGGGGGGGACATTTTGTAGTGATAATCAAGGTGGGCCACTTCCAGCACTTTACAAGAACAGTAGGAGGGGAAATAAACAAGTAGAAATAGTTTTACTTTGTGTAGTGACACATCCACTCCCAATCTTTATTCAAGCCTAAGCTAACTGTATCCAGTTTGAAAATTAATTCCAATTCAGCAGTCTCTCGTTGGAGTCTATTTTTGAAGTTTTTTTGTTGAAGAATTGCCACTTTTAGGTCTGTAATCGAGTGACCAAAGAGATTGAAGCGTTCTCCAACTGGTTTTTGAATGTTACAATTCTTGACATCTGATTTGTGTCCATTTATTCTTTTACATAGAGACTGTCCAGTTTGACCAATGTACATGGCAGAGGGGCATTGCTGGCACATATCATATTGGTAGATGCGCAGGTGAACGAGCCTCTGATAGTGTGGCTGATGTTATTAGGCCCTATGATGGTGTCCCCTGAATAGATATGTGGACACAGTTGGCAACGGGCTTTGTTGCAAGGATAGGTTCTTGGGTTAGTGGTTCTGTTGTGTGGTTGCTGGTGAATATTTGCTTCAGGTTGGGGGGCTGTCTGTAAGCAAGGACTGGCCTGTCTCCCAAGATCTGTGAGAGTGATGGGTCATCCTTCAGGATAGGTTGTAGATATTTAGCTGTATATATCCCAAATTACCATTCAAGCCATTAAGTTTTCTCTAGTAGTAGTGCACATATTACAGCCAAATCTGAAAGAGAGCCCATTGATTCTGGTGCTCAACTTGAGATACCTTGGGCCTGATTTAAACAGACTGAACACTCATCGCTCATTTTCAGGTGTGCTGAGACTAAGTATCTCAAGATGGGTACATATGAACAGGGAAATGTTTTTGATGATTTAGCTTATTTCTTCATTTCAACACTTTTGAGTAAGCGTATGGAAGTTGCTCCAGCACAGTGTATTGTTGTCTTATTTTTCATATTTCCTCATAGGTGTTAAGTATAGATTAAAACCTTCTGAATACTACTTGATTATAATGGAGTATAACCGCAAATAGGTGCAATCCCCAACAGGTTTTTTGCTGTCTTTGCCTTGAATGTTTAGACAGAAGCTAACTTTTCTTATTCATCATAACTTTGACATTCTTGTACTTCCCTGCAATTAAACATCCTATTAAATATATGATTTCTCTCAGACATTACCCAGCTCACTGCATTAAGAGAAGTTGATAGTTAAGGATTTCCAGTTACATCATTTACTGTAGAAAAGAGATTTCACTACGGAATAAGGTCGAATTTATAGAAGTCGTTTTTTTAGAAATCGGTTTTATATATTCGAATGTGTGTGTCCCCACGGAAAATGCTCTAAGTGCATTAAGTGCATTAACTCGGCGGAGCGCTTCCACAGTACCGAGGCTAGAGTCGAATTCCGGAGCGTTGCACTGTGCGTAGCTATCCTACAGTTCCCGCAGTCTCCGCTGCCCATTGGAATTCTGGGTTGAGATCCCAATGCCTGATGGGGCTAAAACATTGTCTGGGTACATATCGTCAGGCCCCCGTTCCCTCCCTCCCTCCGTGAAAGCAAGGGCAGACAATCGTTTCGCGCCTTTTTTCCTGAGTTACCTGTGCAGACGCCATACCACGGCAAGCATGGAGCCCGCTCAGGTAACCGTCACCCTATGACTCCTGGGTGCTGGCAAACACGGTACGGCATTCCTACACAGTAGCAGCAACCCCTTGCCTTCTGGCAGCAGACGGTACAGTACAACAGGTAGCCGTCATCGTCATGTCCGAGGTGCTCCTGGCCACGTTGGCTGGGAGCGCCTGGACAGACATGGGCGCAGGGACTAAATTTGGAGTGACTTGACCAGGTCATTCTCTTTAGTCCTGCAGTCAGTCCTATTGAACCGTCTTATGGTGAGCGGGCAGGTGATACGGACTGCTAGCAGTCGTACTGTACCATCTTCTGCCAGGCAGGCAGGAGATGAGGATTGCTAGCAGTCCTTCTGCACCGTCTGCTGCCAGCCAAAGATGTAAAAGATAGATGGAGTGGATCAAAACAAGAAATAGACCAGATTTGTTCTGTATTCATTTGCTTCCCCCCCTCCCCCGTCTAGGGGACTCATTCTTCTAGGTCACACTGCAGTCACTCACAGAGAAGGTGCAGAGAGATAAATCTAGCCATGTATCAATCAGAGGCCAGGCTAACCTTCCTGTTCCAATAAGAACGATAACTTAGGTGCACCATTTCCTATTGGAACCCTCCGTGAAGTCCTGCCTGAAATACTCCTTGATGTAAAGACACCCCCTTTGTTGATTTTAGCTCCCTGAAGCCAACCCTGTAAGCCGTGTCCTCAGTCGCCCCTCCCTGCATCAGAGCAACGGCAAACAATCGGGCATCTGAGAGTGCTGTCCAGAGCAGTCATAATGGAGCACTCTGATGGGGCTAAAACATTGTCGCAGGTGGTTCTGGGTACATATCGTCAGGCCCCCGTTCCCTCCCTCCCTCCCTCCGTGAAAGCAAGGGCAGACAATCGTTTCGCGCCTTTTTTCCTGAGTTACCTGTGCAGACGCCATACCACGGCAAGCATGGAGCCCGCTCAGGTAACCGTCACCCTATGTCTCCTGGGTGCTGGCAGACGCGGTACGGCTTTGCTACACAGTA